TCCTTAGGGACTAGTAAAGCGCTATACAAATACAGGCCATTTACCATTTATCCACTCAGGCTTCATTTGGATACGCCCCTATTTCTTGACACAGGCCTGGGGGCTTCCAGTGTCAGACGTAACATCATTACTTACTACTGACCAATTTTTTGTGTGTTTTGAAAAGAGTTCAACAATAAAGCTGTTTATGGAGTCATCTTTGGGCTATTGGCATCTTGCACTTGGGTCTTAAACCTGCTCGCCATACAGTCGTTCTATGACAGAACTTGCAAAGTGTTCCTAATGAAGTGTGTGTATTTTTCTTGTCAAGGCAGTTCAGTTTCGCTTCCAGTCTAACTCGACCATCAGTCAAAATGATACAAAAAAATATTCACTTTTGTCAGACACTGCCAGCAGACTGAGTTTAAACTGTGTCTGGTCAAGCTGATGAAACAAGGAAAAACATGCAAAAGGTAAGGCTGTGTAACAATACTTTTGTTGTCTACTGGAAAAAAATATGAGTCAGCTGAGTTCACGTTAAATCAAAAATATCTGTTCCTTTGTTAGATAATTAGGACATCTGGATTGACTTCCTCCACTGAGAAAACAAGGCTTCAATAGAAGATGATTAATTTAACTTTACAGCTGTTGATATGTATTATTGTTAGATGCACTTTAGGGGAAGTAATTCAAATAACAGAATGTGAAAACTATTTACAGGCATCTGCATTTATGTTGAACATGGTAATATTTCTCATATACACATAATTTGGCTGCATTTCCTTTTTTGACAACAATATTGAGATGATGACCAAGAAAAACCTTTTGTGTGAAAAAGCTTTAGAAGCTCCTTGTATTTAGGATCTTTATCTGTTTTAGAGACTCTGTGCTCACTCTGTTTTATCTGCTAGTCTTACAAATGCTAAACCTTTAGGATATTTTGGTAAGTCTGAAATATGGTTGTTCAAGTGTCATGTACCCTTGTAGGTGCAGGCTGCTGCACTGGTGCCCGAATCTGCACCATGTGGTCCACATGTGCCAAATATTTCATGCTAGCAATGGGAACCATAATGGAATCTCCACCCAGGTCTCACACTATGTGGCTCACATATTCCCCACGATAAGAAAAAACAGAATAAAAAAAAACAATCTTAAAGCCAATCTTGAGTTTTTTTGCAGTAAGATGCACTTTAACTTCCATTTACTGATGTTTTGAATCAGTCATTCCAGATATAGACAAAAAAATAATAATTTGTGGTTTCCATATTACTCACATTTCCTTGTATGGTGGTTCCTTATTATAAATAATAGGGAAGCGGCTACCGATTGTGGCTAGGTGTGGGTGAACTTTGGGGCTTTGTGGGCAGGACAAACCCATACTTATCCCACTTGGGAGTGTCCACAAGTTCCCAACACCAGGTTTGACCTTTGGGGTTCCTATATGGGTTTTTCATAGAAAACAGTGATTTGCTGGGACAAGACAACTCAGATGACTTTCTGTAGTTCAGCTCCCTGCCTTTCTGTCACGACTGGGCAGCCAGACACAAGTGGACTCAAATGCAGACACCACATGGAGGCTCGCAGGTGTAGTGCAAACGAACAGTTTATTTAGCACTCAAAAATGGCACATCATTGACAGGAAGTAGAGTGGTTATTGACAGCAAGATCCAATCCACTGTGAAGCTGCAGAGGCAAGTAGACAGGGTTAGCATGACAAAAACAGCAAATGGGGGATTACCGAGCGGTGACTCTCACTAACGTGGGTTAGCTGACGTTCCGGCTAGGAATGTCTGAGAACGCTGGTCTTAAGAGCCTCCCAGCAAATTACACACAGGCGCCACAATCGAGGGGTGTGGTGACTCTGCCCAGTGAATGGATTTACTGACACGCAGGAAAACCCAGCACTCACCCGGACCATGACACTTTCCTTTAAATTTCATTCTGTGTTATCTAGCTTGTTACCACAAGTGTGATGTGATAAGACCTACCTTAAATTTTCTTTCTTCTCTGGTCTGCTTCAGGTGTATTGATCAACAGTATGCTCCCACCTCCATCTTCCTCAAGAAAGTGAAAACCACTACTGAGATCAACATGCTAGCTACAGAAAGAGTCCTTCTGCTGCTTGTCTCACTTCTGTCTTCTTTGTTTCATTGTGAACATTCACTTGCTTTTTCTCTAAAAAACTGCACAATCCTCTATTCTGAAAATTCAAACAACGTGTCAGTTACATGTGCAGAGCATCACCTCACTGCTATTCCAGATGACATTCCTGGTAATGCAGTATCGCTCAATCTCAGCTCAAATGACATTTCAAATATTTCCAGGATGGATTTAGGAGGTTTATCTAAGCTTGAAGCTCTATATGTTAAAAATAATTGGATTTTACAAATTGATGATGGAACTTTTGTAGACTTGGTAGAGTTAAAAGTTCTCGACTTGGGTGAAAATTTACTCACAGCACTGACAAAAAACATGTTTCAGGGTCTTTCCAAATTAGAGACCATATCTCTGAACAACAACGTTATCTCATTTACCTCCCCTGTGGTCTTTCAGCCCCTGGTCATCTTACATTTAGTAGATTTGAGCAATAATTATCTGCATCAAATTTCAGATATTGATTACATTGTTAAACTTCCAACTTTACAACATTTGATTATTACTCACAACAACTTTACTTCGTTTCAGTCAGATGACCTCCATGTAAATACCTCAAACCTACTCACTCTAAGTTTGGATTCAGTGAAGAAGTTCAGAATTACAAGAGACATTTTTCCTCATCTGCAGTCTCTGGACTTGCGAGGCTGGTCCAAGGATATTGAGTGGGAAGTGTCAAACAAGACCTTTTTGAGGAGCCTAACAAGACTGCACATGAGTGAAACTTCTCTTAGCTTTGAAGTGTACAGAGCGATTCTGCAGACTGCTTACTCTCTTCAAGAGTTTCAGATGGATAACATAAAAAAGTGGATAGATGATGGTCTCATTGATGTTGCCTGCCAAATTCCTTCTCTAAGAACAGTTGATGTGAGAAATAGTGAAATTCACAACATAACAGAGCACATGCTGCAGTCTTGCTCTAACCTTACTGAGCTCAACTTATCATTTAACAATATAAACAGCATGGCTGATAATGCACTCCAGTCAATGACACAGCTCAGAAGCCTGATATTACAAAATAATGAACTGTCCGAACTGCCAGTGGCCGTCCAACGACTTACCACATTGGAAGTCTATGACCTTAGCATCAATGACATCAGTGAACTTTACTGTCCTTACTTCTGGAATTTAACAAGCCTAACAATACTCGATCTGAGCCACAATCAAATATCCTATGTCTCTGAGTGTGTTTTTCAAAATGTAAACAATTTGAAAATCTTAAATCTTGAAAACAACAAGATTATGTCATTTATAGATACCTTCAAAGATAAATTACAGACATTGGAGTTTTTGAATTTGAGAAATATTGATATCATGAATTTCATTCAAGGAGATTTTCATAGTCTGTCTTCCCTTCAATACTTGTATATAGACTTAGACGAGTGTGACAGTGTTGATGAAGGAGGGTTCGAAGGACTTGATAACCTCCAGATTCTTTATCTGTTAGGTGATAATTATTTTTATGACCATTTCAGTGGACTGTCAAACTTAAACACTCTGATCTTAAATGTTGTTGAAAGCCGAACCCACAACAGCTCTGAACAAAGGGATAGGCCTTTCTCAAATTTACCCAAACTGAAGAAGCTTCATATCAAGGTTCATAGAGGATATTACGATATTTCAAAAGATGTTCTCAGTGGTCTGACTTCTTTAGAGTACTTAATAACAGAGGCATACTTCATGGGATCTTTGCATCCAGACACATTTAAA